GGCTAGGTATACGTATTTTAAAATAACACTAGTTTACGAAAAAAATGTTTTTTTTTAGTTACTTTGAACCAATCAAGATGTTGCTTATAAATTTTTAGATATTGAAAACAATGTCACAAATTTTCACTAGCACGTCAGGTTTTTGAAATAATTGAAGTTTAATAGCTTTTTTGCAATATTTGACATTTTTTTGTAAAAAAAGTTAACATTATTTTGAAATTCTGATCATGAATATATTGTTTTTCCCCTATAAATTGTATTTTTTTTATTTCGATATCTTACTTTTTAGAAATCCTTCATAACATAATTAAAAAGTAAGACATCGAAATAAAAAAAATATATTTTATAGAGAATTAACAATTCATGATTTTTAATCGAAATTTCAAGATAACATTAACCTTCTTTACGAGAAAAAAAAATCAAATATCGTTAAAAAAGTCATTTTGGATATCAAACTTTAATCTTGGAAACCCGACATGCTGAAATTTTTCGAATTTTGCGGCATTTTCAGCTTTCCAAAAATCTATTAAAAAAACACCTAGTCCGGTTTAAAGTAATATTTTACTTTAAACTAATAATTTGATTTTGAACTATAAAAATAATTATGTAGAATGTTCACGTCTGATGAGCAATATTGTAAAAAAATTTGACATTTTGGTAACCAATTTTAGCATCTTACATATATGATTTTTTATTGGCTAATAAAATTATTTTTAGATCTGTATTTTTAAATACTTCAGCAAAATTATTCTGTCTGTGTGCTTTTCTTACAAGAATCACGCGATTATATTGCAAAAGTGAATAGTCATTTAATTATTACGACAGTCATTTCGGCGATGACATTGATCATGATGAATATCACGGATATTATATCGAGACTTCGGCGTCATGGTGCGTCACTTCTCCAGTAGAGTAGGTGCCGATAAGGGACTATTAGGAGACGCGTTTGGAATCTCGAGCACCTAGGGTTGATCACTAAGGAGCATTATCACTTGCGATCAAGTTCCCGCCGGGACGTGCCCGACGCCGGCGAATGCATACAGGGTCATGTATGCATGCCGTCCCCTTCTCGCTTCACTCCTCTCCGTTTCCGCAAACCGGAATATGATCCGTATCGTTCACTCACACGTGCGAAACTTACGTGATCGTTACTAACGAACTGGCATTTCTTGCGTGTTTCGGCTGCTAGAGCTCGTGCCGGAATTCCGCATAAACGAACATTCTCGCGTAGATAAAAGAGGAATATCTCGTAAGATCGCCAGTCTGAGGTATAATCTACTTTGGAAAATTTAAATGTCATGCAATATTAAAATTAAAATGATAAATAAATATGTATATTATGATAAGAAATTAAATAATTTATGATACAAAATGATTGCTTTGGGGACGAAATAAAAATAGATTTGTTTCATCCGACGTAATATTCTTTTAATAGGGGATATTTTGTTCTACATTTTTATTTCGTGAATTAAACTGTCGGAGATTTAAAACTCGCATGGTGATCACTAGAATATACAAGTTTTTTTGGAGTATTGCTTATCATGATTAAATATTTTATATAATTATTTTGCTGGTCCAACGAAATTATTCTCAGAGTCACTCTTGGGAAAATTTACTTTAAATGAAGTTAAGATTTTTAAAAGTAATTAAGGATTTACTTAAAAATATTTTGAGGTAATTTAAAATGTGTAAAGGATTAATCCAAATAATCTAAGAACTTTAAAGTTCTTTCGCGAACAGTACACGATACCGCCACCAGGTGGACGTGGCGGTGCTGCATTTTCTCGTAAGTAAGTTCCAGGATAGAATAAAAAGCAGAACGTTATGAAATTTTCATTCGTGTTCTAATAAAATAATTTTTTGTCGAGCTTCCTTATAAATAAAGGCGACTTACCTTAAAATTTAAATAAATTCATATTCTTGTAATTATTTTCTTAAAAAAAAAGCTTTAAAATTGTTGTTATCTATTTTTTACAATTTATATAAGTTCTATAAGTTTTGTTATAAATTTCTTTGATTTCTTTTAGTTTTTTTCTTAAGTAAATTTTAAGATTATTTCAAACAAGAGTTTTAAATGTTCAAATTTATCTTTCATATTTCTTAGGTTTTCCTTAAGTTCTGTCTACAGTAAGTCTTAAGTTCTCTCTACAGTAAGTCTTAAGTTTGTTTTAAGGTTTTCTAAAGTAAACTTTCTCAAGGGTGTATCTAGCTAAAAATTTTTTAATATTTCAACAAAATGGATCCGTGTGTCACAAAAGCATTTAGAATTTTTTTTTCTAAAGATTCCATTCTGTTTTATTCCATTTTATCAGACATCTATTATCGCCGGATCTTCATACATTCGAATTTGAAATTGGAAATATCGCTTCGGGCTGCTGAGCTCCATCATTGTTTGCCACGGACCTCGCCACGCCGTGGTATGCACATATGTGGATCGCGTACCAACGTACAGGACAATATGTAATACCGCGCGTCATACAGTTTAGCATATTGATCGTACAACGGCTGTATAACGGCCAAAATTATCTCTACGATTCTATACAATACCTGTCCCCGGGTGATCAAAATATTTGCAATCACAGCGTGTAACGCGACATTTTAGCAAGTACTCGACAAGTATCGACGATGTTATCGCACCCGTTCAATTTTCGCTAATGAAACTTTCGAAACCGAAATTACCTGTGATGATTCCGCACGCAATACCTGTCTCCGCGTATGATGAGAATATTCGCGACCGTAGAATGCAATATTGACAAGTGTTTGTTATCACTGTTATCAGGTTATTATTTTCCGCGCGATAGTTACCGAACGAAGTTTCGCCGAAACGGAAACGACCCGTAACACCATACAATACCCTGTTTCCCGAGTGATGAAAATATTGGCAGCTGTAGACTGTGTAATATTAACAAGTAGTCGACAGATTGCAGGACCCTGTTATCAAGGATATTATTCTCCATGTGGTAGATATTGATCGAAGTTTCGGCAGGAGTTACTCCTGATATTGTACAATACCTGTCGTCGGACGATGAAAATATTGGCAGTCACAGGATGTAACTCCGCATTTGAACAATAGAATATTGAATGAACTGTGACAGCGTTACTGAGGGATAATATTAGTTTCCATAAAAATTAAATAAAAGTTACGAATGGAAATGTACGTGTTAATGATTCTATAACTGGTGTTGCTGAATGATAAAAATGTTAGCAGTCGTAAAATTTAATCGCAAAATTAAGCCAAAATATACTGGACAAGTTACAACGTATCGACATCATTTTTCATATAAATTTCTCTAATAGGAAATGTTATACGACCTTCTGCAATAGCTTTTGCGGAAATGTAATATTGTATTTTTCCAAAAAAAAAAAAAAAAAAAAATACGACGTCAGGAGAACAATCAATAATTTCTATCGACTGTTTTATTCAATTTTTATTACAAGATCCATTCATCCAAGGGTCTATTAAGCCTGAAATCAGCATTGTCTGGCCATACAAAATCCAATACTGCTGGACCGTGAATTTTCGGCGATACGAGAGAAGCGATTGGAGGATAGTTTTAAATCGTGATTTATTCGCACCGTATCTTTCGGCAAAAACGTTATTCACCATACTAAAGCAATTGAATATTTTGAAGATGTGATCCGCATCAGGATTTTTTCTAAATTCACTTTATTTTCACATTTATAATTTGTGATTAGAAGCTTGAATATGTATGCAGTGATAGTTATTTTAAATTTAATATTTTAAATCTTTGAAAAAATATTATTAATATATTATAATTATTATTAATATATTATAATATACAGCACTTACAGCAATATTGCTGCAAGTTTTGTGATGTTGGGGTACATATATAACTTATTCCATTTTACAGATTTTATATAATTTATTTATTATAATTGATATACTACATATAGTAGATATAAAATAGATTATATTCTCTTACGATCTTTTCGCACTATTCTCTAGTTCTTGTTAGTCATTTTTTTTCATTAACTCTGCTAATTTATTACACGAAAATACACATTGTCAGACCATTCTCTTTCCACACTCATGTAATTCGTATACGTAACTACATGTCTCATTGAGCGTCGTATGTTGTTACAATACAACACGTACGTTAAGTAAAAGCCCATCAGGCTGATGAGGATCAGTCCACTCATGCTTGGCATTTACACTTAATTAAGCTTGGGTATACATCAAGAATGCGACGTTTATGGCTGTGGTCGACCGATTCCAATTCCTTCCTTACATTGTTCGCATGTATCACATAAATCATTTTCAAAATTGGAGATGCATTTAGCTTTGAAAGATGAAGCGTTGATTAGCAAATTTAATTGAAAAATAAAACTTCTTTATCATTTTTACGTGTAAAATATGGAAATCTTTGACATGTACAGTTTTTTTTATACTTTAGAAGGTTATACATAATATATAGAATTGCAACGAGTTTTTGTTATCGATATTTAGTGAAAGCTCTACACAGAAAAACTTTCATATTTCTATCTATAATAAATGTTTAAAGAAAATATTTCAACAAAAAATAATGCAATCCATTGAATAGATATAAAGACAATAGGAAACATACACTAAAATAATGATAAAGACTATTATCATTACTGTAAAATTATATCGACGTTATCGTTACCGTTATCGTTACAGAAAAAGATAACGATAATCGTTACTTTTTAACCCTACTTTCCATTATTAATTTTTGACAAGCTTGTGAGTTCTCTAACTGGGTTTAGTCGCTATCTAGAAATGACAAAGATTACATATGTATTTAATTGGCAATACAAATCTGTCAAAGTCTGTAATTTTGCGTGCACAAGCTTTCTTTCGCTCTCCTTCGTTACAGCTTACACGTTAAATAAAATGTGCACAGCTTTTCTCGGAAATGTACGCGGTTGATATCCTAGCCACTGTATGCGGGCATTAAGTAGAGGCTATCAGACTGATGAATGCGGGCCTTTCATGGTCGGTAGAAAAATTCACGCTGTCACCTTACCGTCGGCTTTTTGCTTCAACGGTCGTGAATTTTTCACACCGTTGCTACCCGCGAAGCCGCGTAAGCCTCGTGCACGTGCGCGAGTGATGATAGACGGTGGACGGATATACACAGGTTGGTTTTCCCTCTTCTCTCTTATAAAAACCCTCGAAGCATATGCGAGCATTAAGTATAGAAGCCAGTCTGGGTTGATGAGCCCAGCTCTTTGCAATGCCTCGTAAGCACTCCTGTGTCACATAAATATTAATGTAGTGCAGAATGCGAGTAACGTAACAACCTGTCTCGTTATCAGTAAAATTTGTATGCGTTATAAGTTTAGAGGAGAGTTCGTGGATATAAAAATTTAATTATTACTGCCTTTCATTAATCTTTAAGTACGTATAAGAACACTCCAAAAAAAAAATCATATTTTTACTATTTTCTAATAATATCTCTGTATTGAAATTAATTTACATATATATTTATAAGATAGTGAAACGTAAAAATAATGAATTTTATTTAAGACTTATTTCTAGTCAATACTTTTTATTTTCATTTTACAGAATAAGGGTTTAAGATAACTATACGTGAGATGCTGTGGTTATTTACTTACTTAAAGATTAACCATTTTTAAGATCTTATTAAATACGGATTTCTCTGCGTTTGTCAGACTGTAAAGATATAATGAAAAGTATATGTAATAGAGAAAGTATGAAAGATAAACTAATAGTGATTTTGCAGGATTATATTAGGTGTTGGAATTAATTCGTAGCGTTTTACAAGTGATGGGACTTTCATTAATGTATTTTTTAATGCTCATGTGAAATAACATTCTTTCATTAAAAAACGCTACGAATTAATTCCAACATCTAATAATTTCCTTAAATTATTAAAAAATGCCAGATTAAAGGGATAATATGACTTGCTAAAAATAAAAAGAAATACGAGAAGAAGGCAGGTGATGAAATCGCGTCATTCTAAGCGTGACACGAGCGTGACGAGAGAGTAGGCCTCCCGTTATTTACTCCTTTGATGCAGCATAGAAGCCAGGAAAGTGGTGCAACAGTAGACTCGCCGCGGCGTTTCATCTTTCACCGCAAAACCACGTCGGCAGGAAGTAAAGCTCGTCTTCGTAGTGACTTTAGAAATCGGCCGAGTGGTTTTATTATGATGTACCCTGGATATCGTTTCTCTTTTTAATATCTTCCCTTTTTCCTGTTGATTAATTATTATACTACAAAATATCAGACCATAATCGCATAATAATTATTAATAATTATTTAAATATAGCAAGTTAAATAAATAGGAATAATAAAAAAAAATTGTTCATCTGATATGTGCGATGATACGGATAAAATACTACAGTCAGGATAATTCCCTCATGACTATGTTGCGAAAAATAGTTCTCGCGAAAAAACGACGTTGGTTCAATGTGCAGCGACAATAAAAGTTATATCTGTGGTTTTTTTTTAGTTTACGAAATCAGAAGCTTAATTCATGAACATGGACGAACATACAACGAGCACGAATCACACACCTCGCAAAGGACACCCATCGTCAATTGATTTCTCTTCAATCACGGGAAAAAATTCTAAGCGAGATGAATGTTTCGCAATATCACGAAAATCATTTTCCACTGTTGGAATTTGATTCGGTCATCCGCGTTTGTACCGTCTGCGCAAATATTTCGCGAGCGCAACGAGATAAAAGAGTGCGTATGTTTTATAATCCTCGCTATTTCAACTCGGTTGCTATATCGTTTTACGGCAAAATATCTGACATTATGACGGAAATATATAATTTTATGAGGATTCTCGAGGCATCATTTATCATTGCACGTGACAAAAAGTTGGGATGTACCTGAAATTGCGCTGTCGATCGGACCCGACATTAGCGGTAAGCTCGCTGTCGCTATTACGAGATAACATATCGGATTTCGAATAAATGAGAGAGTTAGTCGGGAAATTAGGGGATTGCGGGGATGTATCAATGAAATCCGATTCGTTGGTTTCGAACATTGACACGTGCGAGAAATGGCACTCTCGTGTTTGATTTTGCGACGATTGCATAGCGGATCGCCGATTCAATGAAACCGCAGTATGTTCGATAAAACACTTTCAGATACTTCCGCTCTCTCAATATTTTCCTAAAACAAGTTTAATTGTTATTTATCACCGAAAATCTGATTGTTTATTGGATGTGCGAATGCATAAAATTTCACGTTTATCTAATCTGCGCGCAGAATTTTGCGATAACTCTAAATTTAAATAGAATATTACTCGAGGTTTGGAAAGAATGATTTGTCTAAAGTATCTGAAAATTTAGTTATATGAAAAGAGCAATTTTGCTGAAGAATATAAAAATTTAGCTAGATACAAATCTGAAAATAATTTTACTAGATTAAAATAATTAGATAGGACGACAAAATTGATTGCTAGAATATCAAAATCTTTTGCAGCATTGCTCATCATGCTTAAGATTCCTACAAAATTATTTTGATGGTCCAACAGAATTATTTTCAGATCTGTATCTAACTAAACTTTTTAGATTCTTCAGTAAAATTAAATCTTTCCACGTAAAGACAGATTTAAAAATAAATTTTGCTGAACTATGAAAATAATTATGCAGAACGTTCAAGCTCGTTGCTAGAACGTTGAAACTTTTTTTACCATCATTGTTACCAAGCATTTTGCATAATTATTTTGATGATCAACAAAATAATTATGCAAATATTTTTAAAAAACCATTCTTTCCATGAATTAATCAAAATAAATCGAGTGCAAATTTCGCTCGATATGAAGCATCACGAATCGTTTTATACAAATGTCGCGCTTCTGTCGACCAGTGTCACCGCCCAATATCGTAGAAAAGGTATTGACATCACCTATCAGCAGATTAGTATCGATGGCAAAAGCATCCGCAATTGATGCTTGAAGCGATATCGATACTGTCAAAGCGTCGACAATACGTGTCTCTAATCACTGCCGATGATTACAACGTCGAATCAGATTCGTTCGCTTCCGCGCCATTCCTTTTCAGAGCCGTTGGATTAACGGCGAGCGTCTGTCGTCGATTCTGACCGGAATTATCGAACCTACATGCGTGAATATTCGAATATCCGGACGACTGAATTCTCTGCGTGTTTGATTAAACGCGACGACGCGATTGGCGCGAATTTCACGCGAACACTGCGGAAACGCAAAAGATTGCACGGATTTATTCATTCATTTTTTTAGCCCACATCACGGTCTCGTACCGGTTTGATCGAGTTCCGTCGGCCATTAGATTTCTGTTAATTACGGCACAATTGAGACATAATTAATCTGAATCATTAATCTTCTTGGCAAACCGATGTATATTGTGTTAATTTATGAAGTTTTATTAATTGACTTAAAGCTTCTATAGATTTCTTTTTTCCTTGGTTTCTTTTTTTGTTTAGATATTTATATATACATATTTTGTTGTCGTCTATAATAATCAAATCTGTATCTTGTCTTTTTCTTTGTAAATCGGAAGTTGCAAAAATAGAATCATATACATTATATTTCTGCCTATGTTCATTGTATGAACAAAACAATGGAATAATGAATTATAAATGAATTAAAATTTATCAAAAAATATAATAATAATAATTTCGATTAATAAGGAATTAGCGCTGTAATACGTACGCGATTAATTTCAATATTATTGAATTGTATCAGTACAGTATACAGATGAATCCATGTGATAAAGTAAGCGATGAGATATATAAGATTAGACTACTTGCATCTTTTTCATTATTTTAGTATTCGCAATGTTCCTATGTGAGGTGGTCAATCTTCATTTCTTGGAGAAAACGCAACCAGTTGACTAGTTGGATAGTGCAACCGTGATTAAGAACGCCTACAATTAATTCACAAAGTTTATTAATAAATTCTAAGTATATTCGTTAGAAATAAGTAGTGTCTTACCTCCATCAAACTACTGCCGATACAAAATTTATCAGTTCGTTGATCATGGACGAAGTAATCACGACACTGCACTTAAAATTATATTGATAATCGAAAAATTCTGAAAGTTTAAAAAAGTACACATATTTGGAGGACGTTGTTCCATGGCGTTGTTCCTTTTTTTCTGATGCTAGGGAGATTTTCACAGTGACGCGCGTTTCTTTTTCCTTCGGGAACATCCTGGAGAATTTTGGGATTCGAAAGTTTGTGCTTGGGGTCGCGACGAGAGGATCACGACGGCTGGCACTATGGAGACAGTCTTCCGCTTATCCTACGAATGGTGCTGTGAAATCAGCGCCGGTGATTCGGGAGAGGGTAACCTCGTGCACAACCCGATGAGGGCGTGTAGTGGTAGTTTGCGCTGTAGGGATGCCAAACCGCCAAACTTCGCCTCGAAACCATTCTCGTAGACCACCCTTCCTTCAACCGTACCCTCTTGTCCTACCGCATACTCTCTTTCTCATCTTCTCTCGATGCCTTTGCATCCACTTTCTGTCACTATTCTCTCCATTTCTGCTTTTCTCTCTCTTTCTTTATATATATATATATATATTCTTGTTTCCTCAAGCACTATCGCAAGGCTTTTCCTTTATTTGCATTTCCTTCCTGCGCGATATCTTCCTCCATGTTTTCACCCCTGCTTTTATCTGCATCCCTTTATCTGCAATCTTTCTTGATCCTTCTACTACCTCATCCCTTTTTCCGAGCCAAAGTCCGCAACACATTTCCTTCACCCGTTATTTCTTGCTAGCCTTTTTGCGTCGTTTCTACTCTCCTTCCGGTTTTCGTTCATCCTATTCTCTTCATCTTGCTTACCTACCATTTTTTGGTTCGAATATTGTCGCATTTTTACGATTCTTCCCTCTATTTCGATATTAATTAATTCAATATGTCGGCATTTCTTGCTTTTTCCTTTATCATATTTTTACCTTTTCATCTCTAATATCTTTACGAGTTTCTCATCAAATGTTTAGTCCAAAATTGCATGAACGTCTTCCTTGTTCCTCGCTTCATTCCGCTTCCTTGATTTCCTGCTGGATTTCGCCACAAGGCATATAAGCATACACATACCAAAGCAGCGAGCTTCATTCTCCGGTGCGAACGTATAAGCTATCGAAGGAGCTCCGAAACAGCTACGAGCTATGTGCTACGGCTCAGCTCCTCTCGTCAGACTTCCACTTAATACTAATGTAAGCATCGGCCAATTAACGTAATTGTGTTATGGCCCACGTCGAACACGGATCTCCGAGCTGTCTGACGGCTTCTCAACCCGGTCGCTCCGTGGATCGATAACTCGTGCGCGTTATACACTGACGACCGTCGTGCAGACGAGCGATAGCGCGCGATAAACGGGAACCATGAACGGCATCAAAGTAACAGGGCGAATGGAATTGGACGATGAATCGGTTTTAAAGTAGAGCGTATTAGTCGCAGCGAGTGATTTTCCATTGATCAAAAATAGCTAAGTACTTAAATAAATTGAGGCAAAGCAAGATGGGTTAATAATAAAAACTTTTTCTTTTTATAATTTTTTTAGACAGAAATATTAACGTCACAAAAGAGTAATTTATTTTTTTTTTTTGCCGTTTAGTATTTAATATAGTTCACTTTGCTCAAGCTGTTACTTGAATGACTAAATATGACAAATAATTATTACAATACTTATATTTTAATTACATTAATATCTTTCTGCGTTATAGCATTACTACCTACTGTTTTTATGAATATTAATGTCCCGGA